TAAGCTTTTCCAGTTTCCGAATTTACCCTTACCTTTACCCCTTACCCTTACCCTATTGCTACCCAACTACCCCGCCCTACCTTACCTTACCCCGACCCCACCCCACCCTCACCCCTTACCCTCCCTACCCCTTCCCCGACCTTGACACGACCCCGACCCCACCCTACCCTGCCCCTACCCCCCACCCCCACCCTACCCTGCCCCTACCCCCACCCCCACCCTTGACCCGACCACTACCCCACCCTACCCTACGACCCCACCCTGACCCCCAACCCCACCCACCCTTGACCCGACCATACCCCACCCCCACCTTACCCTTACCCCGTCCCCTCCACTACCTGCCCTACCCAACCCCCTCACCCCTTACCCTACCCCTGTACCCCCTACCACCTTCCCCTACCTTGACCCGACCCCGACCCCACCCTTGACCCGACCATACCCCACCCCCACCTTACCCCTACACCGACCCATCCACTACCTGCCCTACCCCACCCCCTCACCCCTTAACCTACCCATGTACCCCCTACCACCTTCCCCTACCTTGACCTGACCCCGACCCCACCCCTACCCCACCCTACCCCTTTACCCCCTACCCCCACCCTTCCCTACCACCTGCCCCTACTTGTACCCCTTACTTCACTACTTGTACCCCTTACTTCGACCCTACCCTTCCTTACCACTTGCCCCTATCTCGACCCCACCCTGACCCCAGCCACTACCCCCGACCCCTTTACCCCCCATATCACCTGCCCTTACCTCGACCCAACCCTTACGAGAAGGGTGGGGGGTTGGTATGGGTGGGAGTAGGGGTGAAGGGCAAGGTCGTGGTAAGGGTAGGGGTAGGGAAGGGGTGAGGGTCAAGGGTGTTGGGGATAGGGTGAGGGGTGGGGGTATAGGGCGGGGTAGGGGTTAGGGGTGTGGGTAAGGGACTAAGCGTACGAGGTGACCCCACATATTATATTATATACTTGTGTTCATGAATGTTTGTGTGTATATATATATCAATGGGGTAATTTTGGACATTTTAATGTTAAACGGTGTTTTAAATCCTTTGAAGTAAACATGAGCTTACAACACTGCTTATTTTATGCGCCGCTTATTAACGCGAGTCTTAATAAGCACCGTTTACTAACCCGTGAAGTAAACGTGTCCTAAGGTTTGCGGACAGCCTTATGGGTTATTGAATAAAGCAAGTAGTTTTGTATTTCTTCTTCATACGAGATTTCTCATATTATATAGTTCTAATTTGTATAGTCTATCTCATTTTTATCATGATATCAGAGCCAAAATCCTATAAAAAAATTCTTATAATCTACTGTTCTCTCTCTAATTTTTTCTTCCTTTTGGTTAAAGCTATGGAAGATTTATCGTCGGATTTGCGCTCTTGGATAATTGATTCCGGAGCTACAGAACATATCACTTGTACTGATAGCGATCTCATCAACACCTTGAATCACATCTCTGTACCATCGGTCAGAATTCCTAATGGTGAAACAATACCAGTTCATGCTATTGGTAGCATATACTTCCCCAATGGATTATCTTCAACGTGTTTTATATATCCCAAAATTCCACTGCAATTTACTCTCAGCTAGTCGCCTTGCGAGGGATTTGAACCGTACACTCACATTTTTTTCATACTTTTGTATTTTGCAGGATTTACCTTCTAGGAAACTAATTGGGGTGGGTCAGTTCCGTGATGGTCTTTACCACCTTGATTCTCCAGGAAATAAAGGGGTGGCAATGTCAGTCTCTACTACATCTGATTTATGGCATCAGCGTTTGAGACATGCATCTGATGGAAAGTTACACCATATTAGTTCTCAGAAGGGTTTCCAAAGAAGTGACAAATTTTGTGATCCTTGCATTCGAGCTAAGCAGACTCGGTTATCCTTTCCTACAAGTACTATTAAGACAACTCGCTGCTTTGAACTAATACATTGTGACATTTGGGGAGGTTATAGATGCAATTCAACTTCAGGTGCATGATACTTCTTGTCTATTGGTGACGATTTTACTAGAGGTGTATGGGTTTATTTAATGAAAAATAAATCTGAAGTTTCTCAACTCTTAATTCAATTTTGCAACATGATTGAAGTATATTAGGCTACCCTCACCTATTATTTTTTAACAAAAGCCCTTATGAAATGTTGTTGGAAAAAGTGCCTTCTTATGATCATATGTGATTATTTGGATGTTTGGTATATGCACATGACAATAAACGAAAAGATAAATTCAGCGAGAGGGGGAGTCCTTGCATATTTCTTGGGTACCCAAATGGCCAAAAGGCTTATCAGGACTTCGATTTAAAAACACGTACTCCCTCCATCCCAATTTGATTTGCAAAATTTCCCTTTTTGCACTGGTGCAAATTACCTTTTTGCGGCGCTTAAATCAACCAACGTGCGGCGCTTTCAGGCGCCGCACATCTCGATGCCGCAATTTAACGCGTGCGGCGCTTAATTTAAAAAAGCGCCGCAAATATTTTATTTTTAAAAAAATTATATTTAATATGTGTGCGGTGCTTTTTTGCGTATAGGCGTCGCAAAATATTTTTTTAAATTAATAATTTAATACGTAACCGTGCGGCGCCTTTCAGAATATGCCTCAGTTCTTGAATACCAATCCTACAAATATTTAGATAAAATAAAACATAAATAAAAAGTATTACAACTTTTAAATTAGAAAAAATTAAACGAAGTTAAAAAATAAGAATAAATAATGATATACCTTTCCAATATCAAAGCTATCAACATACGAAATCACTTCCCATATGTATCGCATGGTATAATATCCGCATTCTGTGTTTTCGTTTTGTCTGGCACACTTTTTTGAAATACAAATTTACAAAATATATGTATCAAAGTTAATGGTGATTGAAATAAGTTATTGATGAATTTACCTTAACATTATGCCATGTGATTGTCTTTCCATCACCATTTCTTGCGGAAGCAACTCTGTATGCTCTACATTAAAAAATTTATGTTATATGATATAAATAATAATAATAATAATAATAATCTATAGCAATTATTATAAATAAAAAATATTAAAAGAATACTTACAATGCTAGATCTTTCTGAATGTTGATATTAGAAAAGCTTGGGATTGAATTGAAGATATAGCCTTTATTAACCGAGGGGCAAATGACTATCAAAATCCAATGAAATCTAAATATCAAAAAAATTACAATTAATTAAAAAATTAAATTTACATAAACAGATACATTATATAAAATAAAACTATTTACCCTTCATTATATGGAAGCAAGATCATTCTTTTTCCAAATGTCGCACACAAAGATTGTTTCATATATGTTATTGTGCCCTTCTTGTCAAGTTGATAAGAACCATAAGAGCACAATAAGGGGCACAAAAACACAACATCATCACGTTGCAAATCATTCAATTTAGCTAAGGCACACCTATAATAAACATAATATAGCATCATTATACAATTTTGAAGTTCATATCATTTCTTTAACTTTAATTTAAATATTGTTATATTTATTTAAAATACTTACAATGCAAAGGATTGAATGATGCACATATCCACAGAATCACCCTCGAGTAGTTCAGCCAAGTCTTTACGATCGATGATAGTCCCAAATTCACTGTTTTGCGGATAGTGAAAAGCATCAACAGGTAAAGCAATAGAGAATTTACACACCTCTGGCTCATACCACTATAGCATCTCATGTAGCTCCAATAAATCTTCAATTAGTGACTGCAAAATAGTATCACTAACCAATGGGTATGTGCTAGGAGGAACCACAACCCGAGGAGACTCTCTCGGAATAAAAGCTTTATTCTTTTGAATCACATCTTTCCGCTTTGACTTTACCTGATCCTAAAAAATGGTCAGAATGACAGTAACATAGAGTAATTTTGTATTGTTTGATAATTGCAAAGAGTTATTTATTCACTTCTCCTTCAAAAAAAACTAAATGACTAGGCCACTCAACAAATGATCCTATAGCGTCTGTCAACACACACACACACACACACACACACACACACACACACATATATATATATATATATATATATATATATATATATATATATCAGCATTTTCATTTGGAACTAAAAGAGGACATTGCTCAAAACCTGTAAAAACCATTGAAACAAAAAACAAACTTAAATAATAATAACATTTAAAGATTTGCATCTCACAAAATCTGTGAACACTATATATGGAAACAAAGGATGACATTTCACAAAACCTGTATAAATCATAGATATGTTAACTTTAATGGTATTAGCAGACATCGGAATATTATGTATCATGGCCCCCGGGGCTGTATTATAAGCCAAAGCCATTGCTACATATTTCAAATCTTTGTGTCCATCTTCTGTTTGTGACTCAACAGCTAGCTTACAGGATGAACCGTCCTATAATTATTTTCAAAAAAAAAGTTAATAAATATTGTAGACATTAATAAATATATATGATTTTAATAATTACTTACAACAACAAATTTTCGTGGAATAGGTGCGGTGGAGTTCATAGTGTCTGCATCTACTGTTTGAGAATGCGTAGATGGAAATGTGGTAGATTGGAATCCTCTTTGAGCAAAAGCTTTTTCCATATCTTTCATCCACTGATCCTGTAACTTCTTCAAATCAGCATCGCTCAAATTACCAATCTTACGTGAACTCCTCGGCTCTCGCTCAAACACTCTTTTATGCCCCACACCTCCTCCAACACCGCGTACACGTCCAGGATAATCAGGTTTCTCAAATATCTCGGTAAGAATATCATGTCGTCCGTGTGGCTTCCACGTCCCTGTAGCAACATCATCTTGAATTTTATCCTATTACATATAAAAAAAGAGTTACACAATTTATACGTAAAACATTCTTATGTGAAAAGTTTATACGTAAAATTTACTTATGTGAAACATACTTACAAGTTTTTCTTTCTTCTTTTTCATGGCTTCGGTGTTACTCAGGAAAGCTAGTTGTCCATCTGCTGTCAATCCAGATCTAGCACAAAACCAACTCACATGTCTCGGAATGTCATCAGAAGATACGCTAGATTTTGTGGAATCCACTTCAGACTTAGTCAAAAACTGATCTAGTAATCCTTGATCTTTCCATTTCGGTATGGAAAGTGCATATCCGGAGCGACCCATATGGTGAGGGTAAATATTCAGTAACGCAGCTTGTTTGTTTTTATCACTTAATTCCTGCATAAAATTTAAAAAGTATGGAATTCATATTATAAAACAAAATTGAATTCAATAAAATTACATTTGGATTATACCTGAAACTCCGGAGTCATGCTCCTAGCGATAAAATCCTCCCACACATCTTGTGTCAAAATGCCTTTATACTTCACATAAACTTCACCACTATCCTGTCCAACTGGTCGTGTCTTATAAAAAAAGCCAGTCCTCAATCGGTTTCTAAAGTCCCGATGTAACTTTCCCATCTTTTTTATGGTCAACTTGTACATGGTGTCATCAACAAAATACTCATCCTACATAGTGGTGATTTAATATATGCATTAGGACTTGTAATCTTTTCTTATTATTAATAAAGTTAAAATATATAATTAAGTGTACATACCTGGATCTCTTTCCACATCTGCAATTTTAGGGATTCGGGGACATGTTTCCAACTTTCAATGTTGATGTTTACCCGAGCACGTACTATCTTGCCCACAAAAGATTTGAACTTCTCCGCCCACGCACCAACTGGCTGACCATTTTTATCAAAATCAACTATTTTTTTCCCGTCGCTAGTTCTGCGCCCACTGCTACTATGTTCCTCCGCCGTAACATGAGGTTCCTCATTGAGAATAAAGTCATCTCCATCACTATCACTCATAGTGTGTAGCTCCTGCAACAGTGTTATTATTAGAAGCACAAATAATATATGAAAGAAAAATGAATTTTAATTCAAGAAAAAAACATAATAACGTTAAGATTACTTACAATTCACTCATGATATCACTTTGACTTTTTGAAGAAAATTTCTATGCCATCGTTATGATTTCCAACAAATGAAAGATCATCTTCATTGTAATCGATTGTTGCATTTCTGTCATGCATGCCAGTGGACAATGACGGCATATCTTCAATATAATCATCTTCTCCAACGTCACAATCATCCACATTTAATTTATTCTTACCTGGTAAAACAACTGACCATCGTTTGTTTGAGGGATCCTCTACATAAAAAACTTGTTCAGCTTGGGATGCAAGTATAAACGGATCATCACGATATCCGGGTCGAGTAAAATCCACTAATGTCAATCCTGTTTGATCACGCTGAACACCTCTTCGAATATCGGCCCACTGACACTTGAAAAGTGAAAAACTCCTGTTCGTGTAATTCAACTCCCATATATCCTCAATTTTTCCATATTAAGACATTGTTGCATAAAGAGGATTCTGATCATTTGAACTTGCATATTCTGTTGAAGATGCTACCACTGATACCCCACTATTCTGTAATACAGATTTGGCATCCTGTCGGGTAGTATAAAAGGTGTAGCCATTGATATCGTATGCTTCATATGAATCAATTGTGCATTTAGGACCATAAGCCAACCACTTAACATCTTCATCAACCTCATTATAAACAACATTCCTGTCATTGAAGATGAAGTCTTTAAACCAAGATGAAAACGTACGATTGTGTTCTTTAGTCAACCATACTTCACTTTTCAACGGAAATTGAGTCTTCAAAGCATTCATATGTTGTTGCACATATGGAGAAATAATTTCTAAATGATGTAACACGAGAAGATGGGCCTTTTCCACTAACTCATTGTCCACATTCTTTAGTAATTTCTTTTCAAGTACGCCTTTTCCTTCATTCCTATCATCATGTCTAGACTTTGGAACACCTAATGATTCAACATTCATCAAATAAGGTGTGCAAAATTCAATGACTTCTTCATCAATTACACCCCTGATTATACTTCCTTCAGGTCGACATCGATTTTTCACCTTTGATTTCAAATATCCCATATGTCTTTCCATTCCGTACATGTATCGTAAAAACACAGGACCACACATCTTGACTTCTCTAACCAGATGTACCACAAGATGCACCATAATGTCAAATAGTGAAGGTGGAAAATACATTTCAAGCTGACACAATGTAATAACCACTTCAGCTTGCAACGCATCAAGTTTCTCAGGGTGAATTACTTTCTGACATATGGAATTGAAGAAGAAACACAACCTCATGATCGCACATCTAACATGATCAGGTAAAAGCCCTCGTAGAACAACAGGCAACAAATGTTGCATCAGAACATGATAATCATGAGACTTCAAACAAACCAATTTCATATCCTTCAATGATACGAGATTCTTAAAATTTGAAGAATACCTAGAAGGCACTTTGATGCCATATAAGCTTTCACAAAAAATTCGTTTCTCAACCTTTGAGAGTGTGTAGCAACCTGGTGAAAGATAAAAACCATTTTCCCGCGGTTGTGGTGCCAATTCTTTTCGAATATTTAAATGTTCAATCATGTCTTTTCGGATATTAATTCCATCCTTTGTCTTTCCGGGAACATTCATAATGGTCGAAATGATGCTGTCACACACATTTTTTTCAATGTGCATAAGATCAAGACAATGCCTCACAGATAAGTCCTTCCAATACGGAAGTTCCCAAAAAATAGACTTCTTCTTCCACAAACTCTGTTTGTTCCGCTTATATGGCTTACCAAAAACCATGTTCAAATCTTTGACCTTATCATATATTTCTGATCCACTTAATACACGTCGAGGAACACCGTGTTCAGCTTTTCCATTAAATGCCTTTTTGAGTGCACGATAACGATGGTTTCGTGGAAGAAATCTTCGATGACTCATGTATACATTCTTTTTGCAATTGGGTAATCGCAAATCAAGAGTGTCATCTTCACAAATGGGACATGCCTTTCCACCTTTAACTGTATATCCAGAAAGATTTCCATAAGCTGGAAAGTCATTAATAGTGCAATACAACAAAGCACGCAAATTAAAATTTGTTTTTGTGTGCATGTCATATGCTGTAACACCCTCATTCCACATAAGTTTAAGATCATAACCTAATGGTGCGAGGTACACATCAATATCATTACCGGGTTGTTGTGGTCCCGAGATAAGCAGAGACAACATTATGTACTTTCTCTTCATGCACAACCATGAAGGCAAATTATAAATAACCAATAAAACTGGCCAAATACTATGTTGACTACTCAATGTGCCATATGGATTCATACCAGAAGTGCATAATCCAAGTCTCAAATTCCTGTTTTCTTTGCCAAAATCAGGATATTTCAAATCAATTTGCCTCCACTGTGGTGCATCAGATACATGTCGCAAGTACTCATCTTTTTTCCTGCCTTGAGCATGCCACACTAAGTTTTTTGCATCTTTCTCATTCATGAATAATCTTTTAAATCTAGGAATGATAGGAAGATACCACAACACTTTGGCAGGTGTTTTGGTGTATTCAGCATCAAACCCAACATTAATACCCTTCTTCTTCTTATAACGTGAAGCGTGACACTTTGGACATTCATTTAGGTTTTCATATTCATTGCGGTATAGTATGCAATCGGCTGGGCATGCATGAATCTTCTCCCATTCTGTTCCCATTGGACACAACAACTTTCTAGCCTTATAGCTCGTATCGGGAAGTGTATTTCCTTCTGGAAGCATTTCTTGAAGCAATATCAGCAACTCAGTGAAACTAACATTACTCCACCCATGTTTAGCTTTCAAGTGAAATAATTTGAGAACAGCAGATAGTTTGGAGAATTCAGAACCCGTGAATAGCGGTATATTGGCGGCCTCAATCAAATTCTCATAAGATTTTGGTTGATAATCAAAATTATCATAAACATCATTCAAGAGTTCATCAATTCTATCTTCATTGGCATCATCATCCGCAACATCATCATCAATATCATTTGAAGTAGTAGTAATATGAGTAGCTTTACGCTTTAGATGACTAGAAGTTGCTCCAGAAAAAAGGTGTTCGACATCCACACGATTCTCACCATGGAATGTCCATGTCATATAGTTTTCTCTAAAACCCTTCTCAAATAAATGCTGAAGAACTATGTTCACGTCATTCTCTCTTTTAATGTTACGGCACATTGAACAAGGACATAAAATTCCTTTTTGTCCTTGTTGCTTCTGATGCGCAACAGCCACTTTCACAAACTCATGAACACCATTGAAAAATTGAGAAGTATTTCTCAAACCATACATCCAGCTACGATCCATGATTAACAACACTAAACTTTATCTAAAAATAAAAAAATAATAATAAATTATTGCATACTTTTTTTCTTTTTAAGCACACTTTTTATGAAAGATTGCAATTGAGGGTTATGCTAATATAAAACAACCTCTTGGAAGTATTTTGCTGCTCATTACAACTATTCCAAAATTATATTACTCAAAATTAATTAAAATAAAAAATATTGAAAAAAATTATTATTAAAAAATATACATACCTGCGGATCGGAGGTTGGAGTAAACGGACCGGAGGAGCGGCGGAGGTTGAACGGAGGAGCGGAGGAGGTGCGATGGCTGGGTCACGAGGGTGCGCGCGGCTTCGACGACAACCTCCGAAGGTGAGCGGCGGACGGACGACCCTCGACGACTTCGACGGCAACGAAGGTGAGCGGCGGACGGACGACCCTCGACGGCTTCGACGGCAACGACGGTGAGCGGAGGAGCGGCGGAGGTTGAGCGGAGGAGCGGCGGACTAGGTGCGACGATGTAATCGGCCGGCCTTAGGGTTTATCCCAGAAAAATCTATTTCTCTGTTGCGAGCGACTGGCTATGGCCGCATAAACTGGAACAGTTTATGCGGCGCTTTTTACAAAAAGGCGCCGCACGCCCCTTTTAAAAATCCGAATTTTTTAAAAAAGTAGTTTATTTTCTGCGGCGCTTTTTAAATATAAGCGCCTCCTAGGAAACCGGAACTTTTTGAGGCGCTTTTTGAATATAGGCGCCGCACGCCTCTTTTTAAAATCCGATTTTTTAATAAATTAGTTTATAAATTTGGCGTCGGTCTGCGGCGCTTTTGAAATATAAGCGCCGCCTAGGAAATCAGAACATGTATGCGGCGCTTTTTGCATATAGGCGCCGCACGCGTCTTTTAAAAATCCGATTTTTAAAAAAATTAGTTTATTTTTGAATAAAAATTTGGCGTCAGTCTGCGGCGCTTTTATAAATAAGCGCCGCAAAGACCCGAAACATTAAATAATTAAAAAATTAAACACATATTAGAGGCGTTTAAAGAGAAAAGCGCCGCACGTCGTATATTTTGAAGGCGCTTGTATATTAAGCGCCTCAAATGACGTGACGCAATTTAACAAATTTTTACTAGTGTTGGTTGTGTCAGAATGGTTTTCCACTTTCTATTTTAGGTATGTAAATAAGAATAAAGTAACAAATTTACCCTTACTTTTACTTTTTCCTCGTTAACGTAAAGGCATCTACATTTAGAAAGATAGACAAAAGTGTAAAAAGCAAGATCATTTATTATCATTTCTTAATCTTCGTGCTGGTCAAAGTTTGCAATTCAATTCGGGACGAAGGGAGTAGTATCTGTACCTCTTTTTCCGAAGAAAAATTCCCTTTCAAAATAACTCACGATAATGATCTTGATTTTTCGGCCATCATAGACAAAGTTTATTCTCACAATTTGAGCTATAATGATAGTCACCCTAGTCCTATTACCATGCCTGCTATTCCGAATAATTGCAGCTATACCGTCCCGACCGGCCGAAGAAATTGACATAGACTTAGAACATATAGTCTAGCTACTTTGGAGGGACACCTCACCACCCACTCCACTCCATATGCTGCCTCCCATCCAACAAATAAAAAAATGTTAGAAAGGACCCCACCTCCTCAAGATGACAGCCGCCCCACGCTGCACCAACCAATTTCTCTTACAAAAAAATACATACTCGTATAAAACTTTCTCATTATTCCACATTCTTAGTGTTTTACACATCACCCTCATAGTCTATGCATGGACCATGCATAGTCCTCTATTCTTTCCTATCATTCTATCATTTGAGCTTTGTAATATACTCCCTCCTTTTCTGAAACAAGTTCCACCTTTCCTTTTCGGGCAGATTCAAAATTAAGTTCCACTTTCAAACATTTCCTTATTATCTACATCAAAACAGTATCAAACAGTGTCAAACAGTGCCAAACAGTGTTCAAACAGTGTCAAACAGTGCACTCCACAGTAAAGTCAAATTTATTTTCTTAATATGTGTGAAGTCAAATGTGGAACTTGTTTTGGAATCGGAGGGAGTATATATATATATATACGCTCCAGACAAGTCTTGAGGTATAACTTTTATTAACGATGGGGTAATTTTTTTTATATTTCTTGTATCCTCAATTGCATTTCCCTGAAATGGGAAAGTGTTACGTAGTGCCATTTTAGTGGATTATACATCATCCTGAATCCTGATTGTTTGAAACGCACAATGGATAACAAAATCCTTGATTATGCATAAGGGTATTCTAAGGTTATGGCATGAGCACCAAATGTTTGATATTTAGCTTGAGTTTTGCGGCATTGTTTCTCTTAGTAAGTTTTTATGCTAGCATTTCTGGGTGGCTATTCCAAGAATTATTTTTACTCCAAGAGCTGCTTACGAGATGAATTTGCTTTTCTGCAGAGTTCAAAGAATAATTCAATGACCCCTTCCGGTAATAATATTATCCTTAACCACAAATTCACTGAAGGGCTGGATTCATGGCACCACAATGGCTGTGAAGCCTTTTTGGTTCCAGCAGGTGTGGAAAGTTATGTTGTTATTACAAACCGCAAGGAATGTTGGCAAGGCTTGCAGCAAGATATTACAAACAGAGTTTCTGTAGGATCCACCTATACAGTTTGTGCTTATGTTAGAGTGTCTGGTGCAATTGGGGTCTCTAGTGAGGTCCGGGCTACCCTAAAACTTGATTATAGAGATTCATCTACTACCTATGTTTTCATAGGAAGGTATCTGCTACCTCTTATTCTGTGTACCTTTTACTTGGTTATCTGAGAAAGTATATTGTGACAAAGGAAATCCTCTTCAAATGCAGAAAATCTGTTTCTAAAGATTGTTGGGAAAAACTGGAAGGAGCATTTTCACTGTCTAGTAAACCTGACCGGGTTGTATTTTATCTGGAAGGACCTTTACCAGGAGTTGACCTACTCATTAAATCAGTTGTGGTTACCTGTTTTTACTCAATAACATGTGGAGTGAGTAATTTATAATTAATCTTATGTTATCACTGTTTAGATTTACTTCATGCCCCCAAAGTAAAATTAGTGTTTATATTTAATGCTCGTTTTTATAGTGTGTCAAACAAGATAGCTATGTTAAACTTAGTCCAGTAAACAAAAGAAAATTTGAAATTTAGCTTCAATGGATGAATCACCATAGTTGAACATTTGAACCATACTAAGGGCCCTTTAGGGTGGTGAGTTTGGGGTGTCAAAAGCTAACTGTGAATCTGTGATAGTAAGTTTAGTAGTTAGGACCCAGGACTCTGAGGTCCAATGCAGGTGTAGATATGATATTTGTTTGATTAACTAATTGCGGTTGTAAAACTTAAAAAATTGTGTTCAAATAAGATTTTAATTTCAAAAAATAATTAAATAATTGTAAAATATTAATAAAATATTTGTAAAAAATTAGTAAAAGTATACAAGAAAATGTTAAAAATAAAAAATAATTAAATTTAAAAATCTAAATCAAGTTAAACTCACCTCACCGGAGGTATCAAGCTCCGGCAGAAAATGAGATACGAACTTGTCAACTTCATCTCACAATACCGCAACAATCAATGTCAAACACCTGTGACGGCAATTTTACTTTCTTCTAGTGCAAAAAGCTCACCAAACTCAACACACTACTAACAGAAAGGCGACCTAATGTTAAGTAGTTTTGTACTGTGCTGAAAGTTTGCAACATACTCCGTCCGCCCCTTATTACTTTGACAAGTTTCACCGGCACAAGAAATACAACATCCAAGCCTTAGTCACAAAAGATATTGGGATCGGCTAACATGAATTGATACATGATATCACCACCAAAAGGGAAAAGAAACAAAATAAAGATAAAAAAGATAAGCTATGATAAAAAGATAAAGGATCGAAACCGGCCCATGAAATAAGAAACTAAAAATTGTGGTTGAGATTTGTACGGGTCGAGAGAATTCATAAAACCCACAAATTAATTACTAAAGTGAAAGATTTTCTTGGCAATGTTATAAGGCATAGAGGTAGTAACTTCTTTCTTTTTCTCAGACGGATGTAGCATTAACGACTTATCCAGTGCTTGCTTGCGTTTTCCCTTACGATGATTTCCATGTAATTGATAGAATTCTGGTTCACAATCCATCTCTTCTGAAGAAGGGATCATATTGAACTCCACATTTGAGGATGGCATGATCAACTGGTCAGGGACAGGCTGCAATTTTCTTCTGCACGATACTATAGAAAATGGGAAGGTCCGTCCAGTGTTTGGTAATGTTTTTGCACGTGCAACAGAACGGACACATACTTGGAGTGGAATTCAGCAAGAGATAACAGGAAGAGTATTGCGAAAGCTTGCCTATGAGGTTCTTGCTACAGTTCGCTTATATGGTAACAATGTCACCAGTTCAGCTGTTCAAGCAACATTGTGGGTCCAGCTCGCTGATCTTCGTGAGGAATACATAGGCATTGCCACGTATGCTCTCTCCTTTATTGTGTTGCAACTTTCATTTAATGATGTTAATAAGAGTTATGGTGTTAATTGCATCATTTTTCTCAGGCGTTGTTTGGTTATTCGAAATCACTTCTTATTCCTAAGGCCTTGTTTGGTTCAAAGGAGGGGAGGGAAGGGGAGAATCAAGGAGGGAAGGGAAGAGAAGGAGAAGGAATGATTTTGATAAAAAATTGTGTTTGCTTAGAGGAAATAGGAGGAAAGGTTTAATGAAAATATTTTCGCAATTTACTTTTATTTGATAGCTTACTTAAAAAAATAGATACATGTCTAACTATGGTGAATATTACTCCTATGGTCATGAGTCATAATTTTATTTTATTTGATTTTTTATTTTTTTAATTTTATAATTTTTCATTTTTCAGTTTGGAATTTTTAATTTTTTTTTTAATTTTTAAAATTTTTAATTTATAATTTTTAAATTTTTTAATTTTTAAAATTTTTAAACTTTAAATTTTTTAATTTTTAAAGTTTTTAATTTTTCAAATCTTTTTCTTTTTTACCTTTTTATATTATAACGTTTTGTTCATTCACGTAAGAGATGGATAGTTTGTGGTTATCAACATGTTTTCTCCCGAAATACTTCGATTCGGAAGGTTTAGAATGGGAGGAAGTGGAGGATTTTGAAAGCATTCCACTTTTCTCCCCTTCCCCCCTATTTCCTTCAAACAAACACACACAAACCCCCCACTTTCCTTCCCTCTCCTCCGAAACCCTCCAACCAAACAGGGCCTAAAGAACACCTAAGCTTTAAAAGTAATCTCCAGTGTGATCTGTCTTTGGAGTCTTAACCTTACACCACCTTCTCTCATTAGTGTTGATTTTACTTACCTTATGGGTAGAGTCCAAAACATGATGATATAAATGCAACAACTGTGTTTCTACTCTAATGGAGGATTAAAAGAAAACAGCCGGAAATGGCCTTGTTTGGTTCAAAGGAGGGGAGGGAAAGGGAGAGTCAAGGAGGGAAGGGAAGGGAAGAGGAAGGAAGGATTATAATAAAAATTTGTTTTTGGTTGGAGGAAATAGGAGGAATCGTTTAATGAAATTTTTTCGCAATTTACTTTTATTTGATAGCTTACTTAAAAAAATAGATACATGTTTAAATATTGTGAATATTACTCCTATGGTCATGAGTCATAATTTTATTTTATTTGATTTTTTACTTTTTTAATTTTATAATTTTTCATTTTTCAGTTTGGAATTTTTAATTTTTAATTTTTATTTTTTAAATTTTTTTTATTTTTAATTTTTAAAATTTTTAATTTTTCAAATTTTAATTTTTTAATTTTTAAATTTTTTAGTCTTAAAATTTTTAAATTTTTAAATTTATTAATTTTTCAAAACTTTTTGTTTTTTACCTTTTTATATTATAACGTTTTGTTCATTCACGTAGGAGATGGATAGTGTGTGGTTATCAACATGTTTCCTCCGAAATACCTCGATTTGGGGGGTTTAGAATGGGAGGAAGTGGGGGATTTTGATAGCCTTCCACTTTCCTCCCATTCCCCCCTATTTCCTTCAACCAAACACACACAAATCTATCACTTTCCTCCCCTCCTCTCCAACCAAACAAGGTCTATGGTAGGCTTCCTTAGGCCCTGTTTGGTTGGAGGGTTTCGGAGGGGAGGGGAGGAAAGCGGGAGATTTGTGTGTGTTTGGTTGAAGGAAATAGGGGTGAAGGGAAGGAAAGTGAAAGGCTTTCAAAATCCTCCACTTCCTCCCATTCCAAACCCCCCAAATCGAGTTATTTCGGAGGAAACGTGTTGATGACCACAAAACGTTATAATATAAACAAAAAGTTTTGAAAAATTTAAAAATTTAAAAATTTAAAAAATTAAAGATTAAAAAATTTAAAAAAAATAAAAAAATTTAAAAATTAAAAAACGTTATAATATAAACAAAAAGTTTTGAAAAATTTAAAAAATTAAAGATTAAAAAAATTAAAAAATAAAAAATTAAAAAATTTAAAAAATTATAAATTAAAAATTTTAAAAATTAAAAATAAAAAAATTAAAAAAATACAAAATTAAAAATTCCAAACTGAAAAATGAAAAATTATAAAATTAAAAAAGTAAAAAATCAAATAAAATAAAAATATGACTCATGACCATAGGAGTAATATTCACAATAGTTAGACATGTATCTATTTTTTTAAGTAAGCTATCAAATAAAAGTAAATTGCGGAAATATTTTCATTAAACCTTTCCTCCTATTTCCTCCAACCAAACACAAATTTTTATCAAAATCTTTCCTCCCCCTCCCTTCCCTTCCCTCCTTGACTCTCCCCTTCCCTCCTCTCCTTTGAACCAAACAAGGCCTTAGGAAATAAGAAGTCATTTCGAATAATCAATCCCATCTTATTTAGAAAAATGATGCAATTAACACCATAACTCTTACAAACTTCAGCGCGCGAAATCAAAAGTTACGTATTTGGTAAAAAAGCTGGCTGATAAGCCTGATAAGCCGAAAAAAGGTTACCAAATAAGCTCTTCATATGCTTTTAGAAGGAGTAGCTTCTTAAAATAAATTACTGAAAAGTGAAAACCTAACCCTGGACTTTTCCACAGTGTACAAACAACAGACAAGGAGTGGTCACAATTACGAGGAAAGTTTCTTCTTAATGGTTTCCCATCTAAGGTAATTATTTATCTCGAGGGCCCACCCCCAGGCACTGACATTTTCCTCGATACCTTAACCGTGAAGCCTGCAGCTAAAGTTCTTCAATCTCCTCCGCCAGTGATCGAGGTTAGTTCGCAAAAAATCTTAGATTATTTTGTTTGTGTATTTTTGTCAAGATATAAGAGTGGTCACATGGTTAGTATTGTTAAGACTTCCATCATTGAATTATTAAAAAGAGGTGTGCAGTTTGGCTCATATGCTTTAATGACCCTGCTTAGTGAATCTGATATTATTATGTATTCAGTCCATTATTACTCCAAACAAAAGATACTGCTTAATACAATCCTCTTCTCCAGAATGTGGATTTTGGTATCAATATTATCACAAACACCAACCTAAACAATGACACAAATGGATGGTTTCCTTTTGGAAATTGCACCCTCACTGTTGCAATTGGCTCACCACTTATAATCCCTCCTGCGGCTAGAGATTCTCTTGGAGCTCACCCGCAGTTAAGTGGTCGCTACCTTCTTGTGGGGAAACGTACAGAGACATGGATGGGTCCCGCACAGATCATTACACACAAAGTCAAAGTCTATTTGACTTATCAAGTTTCTGCATGGGTTAGAATTGGAAAAGCAGCCAGTGGGGCTCAGAGTGTGAATGTTGCTCTTGATGTGGACGGTCAATGGGTGAATGGGGGTCAAGCTGAGATTAATGATGACAACAAATGGCATGAAATTTGTGGATCTTTCAGGATTGAGAAAGAAGCAGCTAAGGTTAAGGTTTATGTTCAGGGTCCTGCTCCAGGTGTTGACTTAATGGTTGCAGCACTTCAAATATTTCGAGTTGATAGAAAGGCGCGGTTTGACCACTTACGAAGAGAAACCGATAAGGTAAGAAATATATAACGGGGTTATCTGACCTCTATAGATTATCAATTTTCATGTCATACAGATGTGCATAGTTTATATATACAATAATACACTTTTTATTGCACTTTATTAAGGTGGTTTTGGTATAATGACCTAAGAAATAGCTAAAGAGGCGATGGCTATTTAAAGATTTATAAAAAAAAGTGGCTATGCATGTCCCTTTTATACTTCCAGCCCGTTTGGTTGTACGAAAATCCGCTGTTTTGGCTTATTCTGCTGAAATTTATGAAGTTCTGGCAGAAGTAGCTGCATTGCGTGAAGTTCTACCTTTATAATCAGATTGGTAGTTTATATCATGTAAATATATGTTTCTATGGTATAGATACGCAAGCGAGATGTCATCTTGAGGATCTCAGGATCAGAAAGTTTTCATGGGACTGCTGTGAATGTAAGGCAAATCCAAAATAGCTTCCCGTTTGGGTCTTGTATTAGCAGAGGAAACATAGACAATGAAGAGTACAGAGATTTCTTTCTCAGAAATTTTAATTGGGCTGTCTTTGGGAATGAGCTGAAATGGCACTCAACAGAACCTCAACAAGGAAACATAAACTACAAAGATGCTGATGAGCTCTTGGACTTTTGCATGAGAAACAACGTTCACGTGCGTGGCCATTGTATTTGCTGGGAGGTCGAGGATGTCGTTCAGCCATGGGTCCGTGGCCTGGACAAGAATGACCTGTCAATTGCCATCAAAGCACGCCTTACAAGCCTCCTCACGCGCTACAAGGGAAAGTTTAAACACTATGATGTGAACAATGAGATGATGCATGGCTCGTTCTATCAAGACCGGCTCACGGAAGATACCCTAGCCACCATGTTCAAGGCTGCAAACAATACTGACCCTTCTGCCCTCCTATTTGTCAATGATTATCATGTTGAGGATGGCTGTGATGGCCAGTCATGGCCGGAAAAATACATTGACCACATTCTTGAACTCCAGGAACGTGGGGCACCTGTCGGGGGCATAGGTATCCAGGGACACATAGATTGCCCGATTGGACCAATCATTCGTCATTCTCTGAATAAACTGGGAATTCTCGGACTCCCTATTTGGCTCACCAAGATAGATTTCTTTTCAAAGAATGAATATATTAGAGCTGACGATTTGGAGGTTATGCTCCGCGAATGTTACGCTCACCCTTCTGTGGTGGGGATAATGTTGTGGGGATTTTGGGAGCTATTCATGTCCAGGGAAAACTCTCATTTAGTGAACGCTGAGGGGGATCTTAATGAGGCAGGCAAAAGGTATGTTGCTCTTAAAAGAGAGTGGATGTCACATTGTCATGGTGATTTTAATCAGCAGGGAGAGTTCTTCTTTAGAGGATTTCATGGATCATATGAAGTGGAAGTCATTGGAAGGTCAAAGGGATTTACCAAGACATTTGTGGTTGACAAGGGTGAGGATGTTTTGATAATCTCCATTGATGCATAGTTCATAACTATGCTTGGGATGTACACATTTCTAAGGCCTTATTATGATCTTGTGCTTATTTTATCATCAGAAGCATACATGCTTGAATTATTACCTTTTCATACAAAATGTCTAGATTTTATGTGGCAGAGTATATTTATTGTCTTATGGTGTAAAAAGCGAAATTTCAATAAAACAATGTGATATTTCAAAATAGAAATACTATGTTTCTGAGGCCGGAGGTAGAAATTATAATTTAAACATTATTTATAATTTATAATCAAGAATCTAGAAATTATAATAATGTGAAATTTGAATAACATACTATATTACTATTATATGAGGAAAAACACAGGAAAAGTTTTTACAATATCTACAAATGCGTATGTAAGGAAGTCTTAATTATTTAGAAAGGTGCTAGTATTTATTGCCTTACTATAGTAATGAAATTAAGAGCTCAAAACTACAGGGACATTTATGATTAGATTATTACTTTTGAAGTATTTGTTTTTTTAGATTAAAATTTAGACCAAGATGGAAGATAAATTTCTTACATAATGTTTGTTAGTGTATATTGAGAATTAAATCGCCATTTTTTAACATGGACTCTCTTATCGATGATTTCCGTGACATAGAAGAGTGACGTTATGTAAATGCAAATGGAGAATCAAAAAATATTATTTGAAAGACTTATATGTAAATGCAAATGAAGAATCGGATTGACTTGTCTTCTCGAGCAAAGTGCGAACTGCGAATTGGCGGAGGCGAAGAGTAGAGCTGCAATTTCTTTCGACTTTCAACAATCCTCTTTCGATCAAATGCGTGAATTGTCTGCCAAAATTCCAAATACTATTTCAATTATCATATTTACAAATTAAATTCTAATAATAGTACTGTTGTCCAAAATAGGACGCTCGTAGGCTTTTAGAAAAACTACGTACGACATTCAAGCAGGAAATCAAGAAACTATATGAATAAGGAAAGTTGCTAAGAAAATTTGATAGTCAGAAATAGCATCTCGAATCCGCCTTTTCTAATCTGAATTACAACCCGCTTTTTATAGGCGTATACAAACCGTAACCGCTACCGATAATAATGACTAATTAATTACAACATTAATACGCAATGAAATACATAATTAATAGTGCATTAATTGCTTGACTGTTACTCTTCGGGGTTGGGAGGTCGGTCGGACTGGCAGGCCCCCCGCTAGGCTGGCTGGCTGGCAGGCTCCAGGTTACGGACTTGGATCCACGGGTCCAAGTTTGGGGCTTGGGCTGATTAGGCTCTGAGCCTAGTCCCATTACTCCATCACGAGTCCCACACTCCCTTAGTCGAGTAGTAGACTCGACTAAGAGGGAGTAGTCCAAGTTAGTTGCCCTTCTCTAAGACTAGAAGATCTCCGCCCTTGTCCATGTTGGGGAGAGGCCTCGTTAAAAACCTTCATTAGGAGAAAACCCAATGGGAAAAAATCCTAATGAGGGGAAAAAGAGTACATTTGACGCCCCCAAGATGAAGTAAGAGGTGAGATCCTCAGCCTTTATTGCAATGGTCGCCATCTGCGAATAGGATGGCTAGAACTGTTCTTCTCGTCGGGCTCAGACTCGTCAGATTCGTCATTTGCTTCCTTGTAGACGGTAAGACCCTCAGTCCCCCACTTCATTCAGTTGTACCTACACATAAAAGAAACTAGTGTAGAATAAAGCATCTGGTCTGGTGTTGAACCACGGCTCAGTGTGTAAGTGAGTCGGACTCACTACTTGAAAAGAGTGACATCAAGTTCCCAAGTTAGACCTCAACCCAGTCTCCGAAAGAAAGATTGTATCCGCGAGTAAGTGAGTCGGACTCCTCACTCGAATGGATAATCCAAACCCAAAGAACTAAAGTATATCAACCTTTTCGAGAAATGTGAATGTCAACTAAGTGACAAAATTGCTCGGAAGAGCGTGGCTCTAGGCCCCTAACAAGAGTTTAACTCGCCGCTCGAGGTTAGTAGTTCGAACCCGTAAGTAAAAACTTTTGAACGGGTGACTAGTCCACCGAGATCGGAGTGTGATGCACTAGGAAAGGGTAAGAGCACGCAAGAACTCGTATGAAGTCAAGAGTGTGCGGTATTGACATTTATATTGGAGCTTATTAATCGCCACACCCATATGACGTGACCCGGTGGCGCGAGAGTGTGTGCTCGACCAGTGTACGAGTGTGTGTGCACGCCCAGTGTACGTGAGTGATCGGATTACATAAGTCCGTTTTTCAATGTTAAAATTACACATGCTTAACAAGAGTAAAAGCAATTAAACCACTTAAAATATCTTTTCAAATGATTCATTTTGTGATTTTTTTATTGAATCATTTTATAATTTTTTTATTAAAGATGATGTAAAATTGAGGAGTATACCTAGCTTTCCTTGCTTGGAAGCTCGATCCAAAAGAGAAACCCGGGCAGATGGACATGGCCCGTAATCAATCTAGGCCCAGAAATCAACCTATCGACGTGAGCAATTCCCCTAACTCGTGCGCTTGTGCCAAGCTTCTGGCTCGCAGAGACTTTTAGAGAGGGAAGTCCTTTGGCCTCACAGACTCACAGAGTCTGAGAACAGTCGGGCACAGGAGGAATGGAAGTCGTCTGCACCGCTGCCATTAGAAGAACCTTCGGCTCTCGCCTGAAGACCCGAACATCAGCGTCGGGATGTGTTCGACGGCTGACGAGGCCGCAACTTCGGCCTTTTCCGACGGTGATGGCTATGGGTTGTAGCAGCAGCTTGGTTATATCCACGGCGGCTGTATCTGGATCGACGATGGTGGGACCAAGACGGCGATCCTTCAACATCGATGGACCGTGGTAGGCACGTTAGGGCGCAGCGGCGGTCGAGATGGTGACATCAGCTCCTGCTAAGTAAAGTCCCAGATTTGAATCCTCCGGGGCAGCAGCGATGAGCTTCTGCTTTACGGCGCCTGGTGGCCGCTCCGCGGCGGCGATCAGCGGCAGACGACACCGGCATCTCCAACTTAGATCTTGACAAATCCAATTTCTTTCTTTCTTTTTTTGCTGAATTTCAAGAACAGATTTTGCTAGATTTTTCAAGATTGTGAGTAACAGACCTGAAGAACCGTTAGAAACCTTCGATCTTCATCCATTTTTCTGAAATTTCCATCTAAAGAAGTATAGTTGACAAGAATAAGATATCGTTCATTTGAATCAGACTTTCCTTTTATAGACGATTACAAATGGTAACTGCCAAAGATACTAATGACTAATTAATTACAACATTAATACAAAATTAAATGCATAATTAATAGCGCATTGATTGTCTTGGCCGTTACTGTTCCTGGCTGGTGGGTCGACCTGACTGACGCTTGAGCTCTCTCCTGCAGGACTGAACGACAAGCTCCCCACCGAGCTGGAGGCAGGCTCCTGGCTGGGCTCGAAGGCAAGCTCCCCGTTGGGCAGGAGGCATGCTCCTGGCTGGGCTGGAAGGCAGGCTCCCCGATGGACTGTAGGCAGGCTGCTGGCCGGGCCGCGAAAGGCAGGCTCCACGTTGGGCTGTAGGCAGGATGCTGACCGGTCCAGAAGGCAGGCTCCCCGCTAGACTGGAGGCAGGCTGCTGGCCGAGCAAGAAGGCGGGCTGTCTTGGGCTTCCGCTCCTTGATGGGCCTGATCGGTTGGGCCGGCTCGAGCTCTGGGTCGCTGGGCTTGGGGTTGCTGGTCCAAGTTCGAGGCCTGGGCCGATTGAACTTGATTTGCATAATTTCATTTTCTGGTTGTCCCAAAATGGTTTGTCACTTTCTATTTTAGGTATGTAAATAAGAATAAAGTGACAAATTTACCATAACTTTTATTTTTTCCCCATTAACTTAAAGGCATCTACTTTTAGAAAGATGTGCAAAAGTGTAAAAAGCAAGCATCATTTATTGTCATTTCTTAATCTTTGTGTCGGTCAAAGTTTGCGATTCAATTCGGGACGGAGGGAATATATTTTATTTATTAATGAAAGTGGTTGGGGCCTTGGGGCTTGAGTTGAGGTATATTTGTCCAAATTCTAAAATTACTCATATTCAAAACATGGTACTCCTGTTTTTGTATTTTTCCTATGTTTTACTCCTATTTGGAGAATTTACTCCATTAGAGTCTCGAGGAGTAATTTTCCCATCCCATCCGGTGTGGGAGAATTAAAGTAGGATACAGAGATCTCGCATGAACCTGTAATTTGCTTAAGTTGTGAATTTCTCAGTTTTAAAATTATTTAATTTAATCAATGATTATTATTTTTGTATTATCTCTATTATATATATTAGCAGTATAGTATCAATGTATTACTATTTTACTCTTATATTAGTATCATATTTTTATTACTGTTATTAGTATTGAAATAATTATTAGGTATTGTTTATTTTTATTCATATAAATATTTTATCATTAAACTACTTTTGCACTTCTAGCTTTTGTGTAATTGGTAAATTTATACTCCTTATTTGTTAGATTTAGGACTTGAAAAATCTTTTTCGTTGAAAATGAGAAAATTATGATCTTTTTAAATAACATTACTTAATATTAAATTTAAATATTTAAAATAGCTTTAGAAAAACTAAAATAAATGATAAAAAATCAAAACACCTTTTCACGCCTAAACCCCGCCAAAGCCCGCCTAGGCTCCAAAGGCTTAAGGCTTGGCCATGCCGCCTCGGAACGCCTTACACCTTTTAGAACATTGGATGCAGAGAGTATATAATTCTATTAATTAAACAAATTTTGATACGAATGCATCATGTATGATACCCAAGGTGTCATAAAGTTTAAAAATGTTGTTGTAGCATACAGAGTAATATTTTATTATGCTAGGGTGCCATGGTTTATTGACATTTTTCGGAGTAATATAGTGTTGTTATTTTCGACTTCACTGACATTTCTCTTGTGTCATGAAAATTTTCTTAGACATTTAATAGGTACTGTCATGAAAAGACATTTTTCTAATAGTTATTTGAAATCACGTCAGAACCTCATTGGTGAGTAAAATTCACTCAAATAATTTGGCTTAACAGTAACAAATTAAAAGGATGACACCTCATCCTGCCTCGAGGGCCCGTAACACCGGTTGGACAATTAACTACGGGATGTAAATTGGACATTAATAAGGGAATGGTAGATAGAGAGTGTATCGCTGACTCAAGTGCCTGGAGAGATTCTATGCATTTTACGTAGTAAACCCCTCATTGCAATTGTGAGGATTCAAATCAGAGGTT